AGGTGAGAGTTTTCAAACAGGCAATGTTGGCTTGAGTACGTCTCAACAGCCTTGCTGAACCTTCTTCCTTTGAAAATCAATCTATCTCAATCTTTCTCTCCCTTTGTTATTACTCTGTCTGACTTGCTTCACAGTCTGATGGCCTTCCAGCCTTGTCCAGCTTGCCCTCTGCTTTTTCTTATCTATCAAATTGTATTTTCTAATCCACTTCTTGGAGAATCTAAACTAACACAGTTTGGCACTCAAACTTTTGTGGATCTGATCTCAGTCTATTTCCTAGCCTTATCTCTTTCCTTCTTACTAGTCTTCGTTTTCAAACGGGCCTCGTGTTTTCCAATCACAGAGCTTTGACCCTACTCTTCAGAACAAAAGCACTCACCATACGACCGGTATTAGATCACACTTGTCATTGCTTGTACATTTCAAATATCATCTTCTCTAAGCCTTTCAAGACACTGCCAGCCACATACGCTATTTCTGTTCTGTAAACTGCTAGCCCTCTTGTCTTTGAGCACTTTTAAATGCTTACCAACAGTAATAACTACAGCTTTGAACACTCCAAAGTCCCCAACATCATGGGAAGATTGTCCACTAAGCAAAGTAAACATCGACTTGTTCATGTTTACATATTAATCTGAGTGAACAAGTTCACATGGGATATGGTGTATTCCATCCCTGTCAGGGATTTTAAATGTAAAAAAGAGGTTTTGATTCTGTAAGTAGGCACCGTGACCATGCAAGAGCAAGGAATGCCAGCCACATATAAAAGCATGATGCTTTAAAAAAATAAAATTGTTCAGTAAAAATTAATGAGCAGGTGCAAATAAACCTGTATTTCACTTGCTTATTGAGTGGTCTGGCATATACATAGAACTGGAATTGTTCAGTGCCGAAAATTTGATTCTGATCCAGTGACCCCATGTGGCAGGAAACACGCCTCATTGAATTTTATCAGTTTTAATCTTTTCAGAAGGGAGGTCTGGTGTCGTAGTCTACAGGGAGTAGTGCTGCAGCCTGAAAGTGGCCCCTCTCTGGAAGCTTGAATCCACCAGAGGCTCCTCAGAAGAAAGACTGGCAATCTCCTCTCATGTGATTCACAGCCTTGGAAATGTGCTGGAGTGTCAGCTATTAGCCATTTCTGATTCGATGGCAATTAAATAGAGTACCAGAGTAGTTTTTGTGGAAGTAGATAATCAGGTCTGGGAGCTGCTGGGCAGATTCGGATCTCTGCTTTTCACCTGCTAACTTAGCATTGAACTCATTGTCCCACTAAGGCTCCTTTCATAGAACCCAGACTACATCCAATGACCCTAAGTTGATCCACTCATTGCAACCCTATAGGACAGAGTAGAAGTACTTGTAGGATTTTCAAGGCTGTAAATTTTTTGTTTGTTTTTAAAAATAATTGATAATTTTTATTTTTACTGTCTTTAAAGGACAATTTAGGCTATAAACCTTTATAGAAGTAAACTGCAAAGTCTTCCTCCCATCAAGTACCTGGGTGAGCTCAAAATACCAACCTCTTGGTGCTTTAACCATTATGCCAATTGTTGTTGTAGTTAGGTGCCACTGAGTCTGACTCACAGAGACTCTTTAAACAACAGATCTGAACCCTGTCCTGTCCCGAGGCATCCTCACATTTCCTGACAGACTCTAGTCCATTGCTTCAGCTACTGTGTCAATCCAGGTGGTTAAATGTCTTTCTCTCTTTTGCTGTCACCCCGCCTACTTTTCCAAGCATGACTTTCCTTTCCATGAGAAAATTTCCTCCAGCAACCTTCTGAAAGTATGTGAGATGAAGTGTCATCATCTTTCCCTCTAAGGAGCACTCTGGCTGCATCTTCTCCAATATCACAGCTAAAAAGCATTGATTCTTCTGTCTACCTTATTCATTGTTCAGTTCTCAGATGCATAACAAGTGACTGAAAAGAACATGGCCTGAATCAGGCTCACCTTAGTCCTCAAACTGACATCATTGCTTCTCAATAATTTGGAGAGATCCCTGACTGCAGACTTGTTGATGAGTCTTCTTCCAATCCTGATACATTCTTCTTCATAGAATTTAGCTTCAAGAATAATTTGTTCAGCATACAAATTGAATAGATATGAAGAAAGAAAACAACCATGACACACCTCTTTCCTAATTTTAAAACATACAGTCATGCCCTGCTCTGTTTGCACAATAGCCTCTTGGTCTAGGTAGAGGTTTCACACAAGCCCAAGTAAGTGTTCTGGTATTCCTATTTTCTCAATAATAGCCCATAAATTGTTATAACACATCCACACAGTCAAGTGTCTTTGAATATTCAAGGAAGAATAAATATGCGTTCTTCCGGCATTCTTTGCTTTCATCCAGGATCCATCTGACATCAGCAATGATATCCCTGGTGATACAGTTTCTTTTAAATCCAGCATGAACGTCTGGCAGTTCCCTGTCTATGTACTATTCTAGCCATTTTTTAATGATCTTTAGCAGTATTTTGCTTGCACATAATACTAATGAAATGTTCCTTAATTTCTGCATTCTGTTGGATCACCTTTCTTGAGAATGAGAACAAACATTGATCTCAAGTCAGTAGGCCATGTGGCTGTCCTACCAATTTCTTGGCACAAACTGGTGAGCATGTCCAGGGCTGCATCTGTTGTTTGAAACATGTCAATTGACATCCCATTGATTCTTGGGACCTTGTTTTTGCCAATGCCTTTCGTGCAGATTTAATTTCTTCCAATGTCAATAGGGTTCCTTTGATGTGTAGAATAGAAACCAAAGCTCATTGCTGTCAATTCTGACTCATGGGTTTTGGAAGCTGTAAAATGGATGTAGAAGAAGCTTGCTTATCATTTTCCCTTAGAGCAGCTAGTGGATTCCAACCACAGATCTTTGGGTTAGCAGCCCAACACATAACTAACTGTGCCATCAGGGATCCATATGGATTGAGTTCTTTCTCTTATTGTCATTGAATTAGAACCAAGTCGTAATTGGCTCTTTAGTGGAGTTCTGAGGCTGTAAATAATGTGGAAGGAGATTGTCCGTCGTTCCCCGCTCCCTCACAGGAGCTGTTGGTGGGTTCAAACTGTCAGAGAGGACACTCCTCTGAGTCAGCAGTGCTACTACCTACGGACTATGCCACCAGAGCTCCTTGTGTATAGAGAGGCCACTCAGTGTTTGGAGAATGTAATTGGGAAATGAGGGAAAATTCTATTGTAGTGAATAACTATGGCATTCAGTATTTCCAACAGTTAAATCTGTTTGGCTTGTTATAGCTACAATAAACTTGAGTAAATTAAAAAAAATTCTGTGTGTAAAGTACTTAGTGCAGAATATAGCATGCAGCAACTCAATTTTAACATCTGCTAGAATTCTTCATCAAATGTGCCTGATTTTTTTCCCCCCAAAGGAGTGATGGTTTTAAATTCTAAAATAGTCTCGGATCTCTCTAAGTATATGAGTGTAATTTAGGGGAACAGGAAAAATTGTTATAAAATAATGCTTCCTCCTATATCAAAGGGCATAAGGACTATTGGGAGTTTCTGAGTGGTACAAACAGTAAAAAAGTTCACCTGCTAATCAGGAACTTAGTGGCTCAAATCCACTCAGAGGCACCTCAGAAGAAAGACCTGGGCTTTATCTCTGAACGACCACCATCATTGAAAGCCCCCATGGCACATAGTTAGAATCTGAAATGTGTGCATGGTATTTAATTCAAAGGCAATTGGCTTTTAAGGGCTGCTGAGGTCAGCATCCCTCACTTATTGAGTTCTTCTTCAGAAACAGAGAGGGGAGATCCTCTCATTAGAATGAATTTCATACTAACTCTAGTGAAGTAGTCTCTAGGGAGTTGCACTGCTAACAAAACCTGTGCTTCTCTGATGGTTCTAAACTAACAGCTTTTCTGTGGGAGAGAAACAGACAATCTCTTCCCCATGAGATTTACAGCCTCCTAAAAGCTGTTGGAGGGTCAGTTATGAGTCGATCTGACTCCATAGCAACGACTTTAACTTTTTTTTTTAATTCCTTGGAGGCAGATTTTGAAACTCCATCGCACATACTTTGCGCATGTTGCTAGGAAGAATCAGTCATCTGAGAAGGCCATCATGCTTGAAAGGGTAGAGGGTCAGCACAGGGGAGGAAGACCCTGAATGAGATGAATTGACACAATGACTGTGACAATAGGAACAGGTGAGTCAGAGACGAGGTTAACTCAGGATAGGGCAGGGTTCAGAGCTGTTGTGCATAGGGTCACCAGGAGGCTTAGATGACTCTGTGTGTGTGTGTGTGTGTGTGTGTGTGTGCGCGCGCGCACGCGTGCACACACACACACACATCTATATCCATCAATGGAAGGCATGAATAAGGAATCTTATTTCTTCATGTGTCTCATGGTTTGAGATCATTTCTGTGGTTGACCTTTATCAAGTGCATGCTTTGTGTCAGACACTTTTCATGTACTTTATGTACTACCTTATTTCCCCTTCACAACAAACTTGTCCCCATAATACAGACAGGAAATTGAGGCACAAAGAAGTTAGGCAAATTGCTCCCATGTCATGCTGCTAAGTCACTAACCCAATCTTTGAAAATTTAACCACTGTTCCCCAAAATATCCATCAGTCACATAAAGTCCATTTCTCCCCCTAACCTCATCCAAAAGCTTTTCAGGCCACTCCTTTGGGCAAGCAATCCTGAAGAAAATGTCATCAGAGTAAAAATGAGATCTGGCATCTGGCCAGGGCAGAGCAGCTGCACCAGGTTCAGCAGCCTGGAGGAGGGTTGTAACTCTTTAACTCCGCTCTCCGGCCATTTGCAGTGCGAAATGCAGCACTCGGGTAAGAACTTCTGAGGTGGAAAGCAGGAAGAGGATGGTCCGTGCAAGGATCAGATAGCACCTGCTGACGAGGGTGCTCGCTTTATTAATGATTTAACAACAGAGATCACATGGGGCAACTGCCATTCTCTCTGCAGCCTTTTCTTTCACCAACAGGCCCAAGAAATGAACGAGATGAATGAGCCAAGCAAGGAGGAAGAGGAGGACAGCACCTTCACCGATATTTCCCTGGCTGATGATATAGGTAAGGGGGAAACAGATGACTTCCAAAAATGGGGAGAAATTGTTCAACTCTCAAATAATATTAAGCAACTTCTCAGCACTTCTTAAAAATAGAACTTCTCTTAGTCTTAGTATAATGGTAAAACATGCTCATTCTAGAGATCTTGAAATGTGTAGGTATAAAAACTTTTAAACAAAAAACATTTTTCTCTTTTTTCCTTTGAAACAAGTGTCCTATATTTTTTTAAGGTCATTTATACTTTATGGTTTGTACCCAGTGGCCATTTCCCAAAAAATCTCCCAATAAAATAAACACATCCCCAAGCTCTGTGGAATACATTACAGTCACATAGACTTTAACCTTTTTTTTTTTTAAGAGGGAGACCATTGATGAGGTGGATTGATACAGTGACTGGGGGAATGGGGGTAGGTGTGTCAGAGACAGTCAAGCTGACACAGGATAGAGCAGGTTTCAGGGCTGATGTACACAGGGTCACGATGAGTTACAAGTGACTTGATGGCACCTAATCATAATAACAACAACAAGGTGGTTACAAATGGAATTGTTGCTGTTAGGTGGCATTGAATTGAGTATGACTCATAATGACCCTATGAGCAACAGACTATCCTGTGCCATCGTCATTCTCTCTGACCTACACAAGCCCGTTGTTGCGGGCACCGTGTCAAAGAACTCAGCTGCTGACCAGAAGGTCCGTGGTGCCAAACCACCAGCAGGTCTGGGGGGGGGGGGGTGTAGAGGTTACTTCTGTAAAGATTGTGGCCTTAGAAACCCTGTGAGGCAACTCTGCTCTGCCCTGGAGGACCACCATGAGTTAGAATCTACTTGACAGCAGTAGGTTAGGGGGCTTGGAGGCATGGTTGTATTAGGAGCATTGGTGGTGAAGTGTTTAAAGAGCTTGCTTCAGGCGTTTGAACCCATCAGTCACTCCTTGGGAGAAGGATGTGTCAGTCCGCTTCCAGAGTGATTTACAGCCTCAAAAACCATATGGGGCAGTTCTACTCTGTTGTTACTAGAAACTGGAATCAACTAATGGCAGTAGATTGAATAGGGGTTTGCTTTTTTTGGTTACATAGGTTTTAAAATATAAAATTACAAATAAATATGTAAAATGCATATTTCTGAAAGTTCCAAAAACATGACCTCACGTTGTTGCTAAAACAACCTGCAATAATGATCATATTTTATGAAACCCTCATCAATATCATTTTTACATTGTAAAATAGTATTTTCATCTGGAAAAAATAACTAGAATATGCTGCAGTTGGCTTTGCAGATTATGTCAGAACATGTCATATTTTAAAGTAAGGACAAACTTAATGACAGAGAAAGAGAGAGAGTGTGAGAGCGCACAGTGGGGTTTTGAAAATACTGATGGAAGGATTCTGTAGGTTCATTCAACCAATGGCTCATTCAACTTCTTGGAGAAAATAATGCTGCCAAATCGAATAGCGTAAACTGCAAAGATGACATATCTGTAAGTACCCACACACTGATTTTAAGGGTTTTGCTGTTGTTATTATTGTTTTATATACAAGTTCCTTAAGCACAATTATAGTAAGAAGCCAGCAAGACTGCAGCCAAGCAATGGGGATTACAGACCTTGATTCTCAGAGAGAAGAGCATGAATATTTAACATCAATTGCTCTTTCATACAGCCACGCTTCTCCACTTTCTCAGATTCAAAAAGCCTCTTTCTAAAGATTGTGGTCAGACAATTAGCATGAGTGCCAGCTAGAGCTAAGCTTTCCCTCCTGGCACCACACAGACATGCTGCCTGCTTTGGGAATCAAAGAGGGGCATTCTCAGCCTTTCGAAGAGGGGTAAAGGTGCTAGTCACAGGGGCTGGTAAAGAAATGAGAGGGCTACTTCTGGCCTTAACATGTTCCCACCAGGGTGTTTTAGAAAATTGGCCCCGAAGCTGAAGAAGGCGGGCATGCAAACAAAGGCAGAGGGAAGCCGAAGTTTCTGAGCTTCTGTAAGGCATGGTGAGCGTGTGGGTGGGAGGTCTGCATTCTGAGTTCACAGAGAAGGCTGGCCTGCCTGAGATTCCACTCAGCTCAGAACAGTTTCTCCATCGCACTGTGGCTATGTCTGAAAGCACACCATCAGTGTTGCTGGGTAAAGCAAGCTTTCTGAAATAACCCACTCCCATCTGCCCCATCATATCCCCTCAAACATCTTCTCATTTTTTGCCAGAACATGTTGTTGTTGTTGTTATGTGCCGTCGAGTCGCTTGCGACTCATAGCGACCTGTGTACAACAGCCCTAAACTCCGCTCTGTCCTGTGCCAATCACACTGTCTCCAACACTCCCATCCCAATTATCCCAGTCACTGAATCAATCCACCTCATAGAGGGTCTTCCTCTCCTGCGCCGTCCCTCCACCCTCCCAAGCATGATGTCCCTCTCTAAGGACCGGTCTCTCCTCACAACATGTCCAAAGTATGTTAGACGGAGCCTCAGAATCCTTGCCTCCAAGGAGCCACCCGGTTTAACCCTTTCCAGGACAAATCTGTTTGTTTTCCTAGAAGTCCATGGTATTCTCAATACTCTTCTCCAGCACCACAGCTCAAAGGCATCAATTCTCCTTTTATCCTCCTTGGTCATTGTCCAACTCTCTGACGCATAACAAGTGATTGCGAAGACCATGGCCTGTATCAGACGCACCTTAGTCTCCAGAGAGACGTGTGCAATAGAACAGGAGGTTGGAATTCGAGTTTCCAGGCAGCGAATTTGAGAAGGGGTCTATTGAACTTGGTTGCTAACTGAGACTGACAATGGATGTAAAGGCTGAATAAGTTTGGGAGAGTGAACAGCAATTGCTGGCTCATGGTGAGGATGATGACAGCGTTACAGGGGTGGGTCCAAGTCTCATTGCTCCAATGTGACTTCCATGTTCTTCACCAGACTGAGTCACAGAATCCCACTGCACAATTACCTTCAAGGACGAAGGAACATGGTAACCACCCATGAGGTGAAGAAAATGAGAAACTAAGCCCATTGCTGTGGAATCATTTCCAACTCTTGAAGGCCCCACGTGAGCAGAGTAGAACTGATCCATAGGGTGTTCAAGGCTGCGACCTTCTGAAGAAAACTGCCAGGCCTGTTTCCGCAGGCACCTCTGGGTGGATCAAACTGCCAATCTATTGATTAGTAGTTCGATTTCTTAACCATTTGTGACACCAGGGACTTAATTGATGACATCACTCACACTTCTAGAACTTCGACAATTGATTTAAGCACAGGAAAGATTGTGAGGTGGTTAGAAGTTTGGACAAGATTTCACTCTGTTATTACTGAGCTGAGTTAGAGTTAACCTGATGGCACCCAATAACAGGAACTAATCGGTGCAGTTTCAGGATTTCAAAATGCCAAATGAAAATTGTTCATATACTATGGGCAAAATTAACAAGGTAACTGAAACACAAAGGCTCCTATCCCACAGGAATTCCTCTTCACTTCCAAATGTGCTCCAGGGCTTCAAGTACTCCTGCTGATTCCTTAACTGCTTCAGCCCAATTTCTATCTCCTCTGATTCCCCTGACCTTCTCCATACTCAGAGGTTGACAAAGGACAGAATAAAATACCTGCTAACCCTGGAGAAGGTCTGTTTGGGGAAAAGACTGCAAGCACCCACTAAACTGAAGCTCTGTGTTTAGCTTTGGGTTTCATTAGTTCAAGCGAGCCAGCTTGCTGATAATACAGAGCCCTGAGAACTGGCAATAGTAGTAGTTATTAAACTGGAAAAAAGAAAAAAACAACAAAAAACAAAACCACCAACCAGTCATTTCAGTTGAGTTGGAATATGTTTTTCTGTGTATATTCTCAACAATAGCTAAAAAAATATTTTTTAAAAATAAGCATTCATGTTCCACACATTAATTTGTAGGTGGTTGGTAGTTGGTGCTGAGTTAGCTTCACCTCATGACGAACCTCATACATGGCAGAGCAGAGCCAAGCTGCCTGGCCTGGGCCAGCTTCATGGTGGTAGATATACTCCAGCATGGTTTTGTGGTTGGTGTGTATTTTGAGCCCTTCCTACCTTAAGGGCTCATCATCTAGCACCATGTAATATTTTAGAGAATATTCTGATGTGAATCACAAAATTTTTATTGGCTAATTTTCAGAAATATTTCACCAGGCCTTTCTTCCTAGTCTGTCTTAATGTGGAAATGCTACAGACATCTGTTCACTACAAGTGACCTATAGATTCTTTGAAGTACTTACGGTGTAATTTCTAGCATCGTAACAACATAGAAACCACTGCAGTGTGGCAGACTGACGGACAAGTGAATTTGTAGGTTAGTTGTACATACTTTAGAACAAACATTCCCACAGATATACTATTATAAAATAAAATTAAGATCCTAGCATACATTTTATCTTCATAGTTTTCAATCTGTGTGCCAGAGTACCTCACCTCTGTCAGACATTGTGAGAACTGCTACCTGGACATTGCTATCTTCCTTTCAAAGCTTGAAAGAAATTTTCTTGCATGGCTACATGTCTTTTTTTAAGCTTGGCTTAGAAGAAAAAGCAAATTCCACATGAAAATCAGTGCAGGACAGTAAATGAGGGCAGAAGTTTGAGAAGGCTGGAGAATTTGCGCTGTGTCCAACAAGTGTGTGTGTGTGTGTGTGTGTGTACACATACGGTCTAAGTGTGATTGTTGAATCTGTACAAGGCAGAAAACTGTCAAAGAAAGAAAAGACAAATGTTTTCCACTAAAAGAACAACAACAACAACAACAAAAAACAAAAACAGGAAGACTGCACCCCGTCAAAAGTAGAAGCCTTTGGAGATTTGGAAAAGTAAAATAGTTCCATCAAGTTCTAGCTTTCATAGGTTTCACCATACTGTAAGTAATTCTGCTTACTTAAAAAGAAGATAAGAATGCTTTCTTTCAAATTTAATGTTGTTGGTTACCACGGAGTTGGATCTGCTCTAGAATGACACCATGTACAACAGAAGAGAAAGTCCTGTCTTTATGATGGTGCGGTG